CCTGCTGACTTCAGGCGGAAGGTACACTAAAGTCTCAACTGGTCGCCAGTCAGTCGCAGGGCACATAAAGAGAAAAAAACAACCATTCACACCCACTTTTATTAAAACAATTAGCTTTTGTTTTGATAGCATTTGTTCATGGTTAACTCCTTGGTTGGTGTATTGGATTCAGATTCCTGAAAAACTTTGGGTCCATTTCAATGAAACGTCATTTTACAATGACCATTCATTAACTTTGCTGATAAACACAGGTGACCAAGTGGAAGTTTGGTGAAATGATCTTTTCAACCACAACTCCTGTGGTAATATTTCTTCTTATAGTACTTATCCAGTGCAGTGTGCAGTTACTGGACCACTACACATGACATCACACGTCACATTACCTACATGTCAAATTTTGATGACGGCATGCAATGGGTGTGCATGTACGCTGTATTTGTTTCAAGGGCCATTGACAGCCTCACTGAGAAGATGGACTCAGTGTGTGTGTGTGTGTGTGTGTGTGTGTGTGTGTGTGTGTGTGTGTGTGTGTGTGTGTGTGTGAGTGGGAAGTGGGGGGGGGGGTAGAATTGGGTGTTCATATTCCATCTCCCACTCCCTCTTTTGTTATTTGTCATTCTATCTGCCCTCTGCCACTTTCCATTTCAAAAAAAACGATAAAGTCATCCACCTTGGTTCTCTCTTCTGTGTGGTGTGATTCAAGACCTGCTCCCTATGAACAGTGCGGGAAAATTAGCATTTGGATTTTGTTTTTTTTTTTAAATAAAATTGTATATCGTCTGCTTGCATGGGTTTCCTCTGGAGACTTGGGATTCCACCCACGTTCCTTAAATATGTTGGTAAATTGAATACTTGAAAAACATGCTTCTTAGGTTACTGAAAAGACTATAAAATGTCCTTGTGTGTGAATGTGAGTGTGGATGGTTGTTTCTCTTTTTGTGCCCTTTGAGTGACTTGTGACGAGTCCAGGGTTTACTCTGTCTGACACCCAAAATAGGCAGGGATAGTCTCCAGTTCACCTGCAGCTAGTGATGGGAAAATGAAGCTTCATTTGCTTAAAGGACACTCAGACAACAAAGTGTATGCAGAAAAGTGGTGAAGATTGCATGACTGTCTTGTGTCCTATGTGTTGTGTTGTGTTATTTTTGTTATTTTGACTTCAAAATGGCGCCGCGAGAGTGGCTGCCTTTCCAGCAGCTCCTATATTTTGTTGTTCTACTTCTTCCTTTCATAACTTTGCTGCTGTGAATTGGGAATTTCTCCATTGCGAGACTAATAAAGGTTTTCTTATCTTATCTTATCTTATCTTAATGAACTAGTTATAGTATTTCTGACTCCTCTAGATGGCACTGTTGTCAGCCCTATGTCGACTTGAGTGTAAGATCTTATGTTGATAAACTGAAGTATAATTACAAGCATCCCAATGTCATCATAAAAAAATAGGCAGGAGACCTTGTGAAAATAAATACATGTGTCATTCTCAAAACTGTAGGTCACGGCTGTACTGGAGTTGTTTTGGGGATTTTCTTTCTTCTTCTTATTTATTTATTCTTTTAATCTGGATCTCAGCAAGACCCATTTAAAACCTGCCAACTGCATAAAATGCTGACTGATATAATTGAAGCGTTATTATTGTAATAAAGCAGCCATTATCCATATAATGCACAGCATTTACAGTGTGTATCACAATGCAATAGTATCTCTTTATCTTTTTATAGTTGAGAACAAAACTGCCCCGATTTTTAAATGAAGACTGACAGTGGAATTTCCACATTTCTCAATTTTTTGTGATACCAAATAATGCATTGTGAGCATTGTTATGCTGGAAACGTGCTAACGACTGAATTGCTGTTTCAACAGTAGGACTGAAAACAGCTAATCTATTTTAGGCCGATGTTCACGTTCACTGTGACAGTAACGTCGGTATGCTTTTATTTATGAGGCCATGCATGGGTTTGTTAACACAGCCGCCGTTTGCCATACCAACATGTCACCAGCCCTTCACTGAGGATGAGTAGGACCTCTTCCAAGATTCTCCCCCGCCCCCGCTGTGGATTTGTGTCATCCTCACAACATTGCAAAGTGCTAAGCTGTAAAGTATCTTTCGGGAATGAAATGCTGAGGTCAGAACAGAGGTATTCAATAGCAAATATGTATTTTTTCTCAACACATTTTGACATCCTGTTGACATGCTATAAATGTCTCACTAAAGTCAGATTTCCATTTGGTACTTTTTCAATGTCACTCATCTCCTTTCCCAGCCTATCATATGCTCAGGTTTCAGAAATGTTTTCTTTTTTACCAAACTGAATTATTGAATCTGCATTGCCTTTTCATTGTGTGCCTTGTATGTGCCGTTCAGCCTTAATAAGTGTTGTTAATGTGCAGATGAGGAAGGCTGAAACAGGGGAATAAAAGGGATTTAAGAAATGTGTAAATTCGGCACCATTCATTCATGTGGTTTTGACCTTTCACCGACCTGGCACTGCATTTTAAGCTGCAGTACTCCTGATTCACCGCTAGGAGGAGCTATTACTTTACTTTGTTTTCTGCCTGCAGTATTATAGTGCAGTTTGGTTTGCTTGAACACTAAGTATTCACTGTATCAGTATAAGCTTTATTAGCAAAGAGAAACATTGTCCAAATATGGAAATTAGACGCAGTACAGTAACTCAGTGATGAATAGTTGACTCATAAAACGACTAAGCCTATTTGGCTTGACTGCTTTATCTGCTGTCAACAATATGTTGCCTGCTACACAGTACAATTTGTAAAGTACATTTTACTCTAAAAAGACTACATGTGGTCTCACTTCAAATAGTGTAAAATTTACATTTGGAAAAGAATGAAATATTCGGAAATAAATTTTACTCAACGTACTTTTTGGGAATTTCTCCATTGTGAGGCTGATAACGGTTTTCTTATCTTATCTTCTTATCTTATCTTCTTATCTTTCCTTTGTATGAGAGAATTTGTCTTTTCCATTCATTTGACTGGAGCATCAAAGTTTAATGATCATTTTGAGGACTCAGTGAATCTTAAAGATCCTACAAAGTAAAATTAATGTGTCTTGTACATTTGACAAGCCATAAAAATGGCATTGTTAACATTCCTCATCAATGATTAAAAAACAACAGCAACAAATACACAGTAAATAAATTAATACAGAGTCACTTTTGTTCCTCTAATTGAGTTGTATTTTAACATTTTGGTGTACAATTGCCTCCGCTGGCCACTAGGGTAGGAGTACTGTACATCTTCGGAATGAATCAAGGTCATACATGCTCAATGTACAACATAAAGCACAGATGATCAAAATCTCTTCACTAAGTCTACTGTACATGACATATATCAGTGTAAAATGTGGGTGAGTTACTTATCAAATAAAAGTTGATTTGAATTGTTTGGAGTACAATTAATCTACCAAAATAAAATTCACTCTGAATATTTTACTCTCAGTCACTGATGGTGTAGTGGTACACTCGCCTGACTTGTGTGTGGGCAGCATGGGATCGGTCCCCACTCAGTGACGGTGTGAATGTGGGTGTGTATGGTTGTTCGTCTCAATATGTGCCCTGCGACTGACTGGCGACCACTTCAGTGTGTAGTCTGCCTGCCGCCCTAAATCTGCTGGGGACAGGCTCCAGCAACTCCCACAACCCTGTTCAGGGAAAGCGGTGTTGAAAATGGATGGGTGAATGGGCTTTGGGGAAGACACTGATCATGTTAATGATTTCTCACAATAATTAGGAAACAAAGTCACTGACAGTGCAGAGGTGCACTCGCCTGAATTGTGTGCAGTCACCGTGGGATTTGTTCCCACTCACTGAAGGTGTGGACACGGGTGTGAATGGTTGTTCGTCTCTATATTTGCCCTGCGACTGACGATCAGTCAGAGGGGTACCTGCCCGAAGTCATCTGGGATAGGCTCCCGCACTCCCGCGACCCTGTTCAGGATAAGTGGTGTTGAAAATGGATGGATGGATGGATGGATGGATGGACGGATGGATGGATGGATGGATGGATGGATGGACGGACGGATGGATGGATGGATGGATGGATGGATGGACGGACGGATGGATGGATGGATGGATGGATGGATGGATAATTACAAAATACACATCAATATCTAATTTCTATACATCTCGGCCGGTGTTTATATTTTTTATGATCAGTTCAGCACCATTCTAGGAAATCACCATATCCCATCAATGGTAAGCTATTTTCAGAACAGGCTGTTGAACTACCTATGCGGTACTTGGGGGGGGCCCCCGGTGCCTGCGGACACCATGTTGGTGACACCTGGTGCACAGTATCTCTACCCACAATACCACTCCCCGCCTCAGAAGCTGTTCCGTAGATTTTGTTACTTCGTTATTGAGTAAATGATTTTGCTGGAATTGAAGTCACCAATTCACCCACAGGACAATTTAGATTGTGTTGTTAAATTGCCTTGTATGTTTTTGGAATGTGGGAGGAAACCGGAGTACCCAGAAAAAGCCCACGCTGGCATGGGGAGAACAAACTCCACACAAGGCTAGCACACCCCGTGCCCCTTGTGAGGATAAGCGGATCAGAAACTGGATGCATCTTATTATTATTATTATTGTGTTTGTACGTGTGTGTGTGTGTGTGTGTGTGTGTGTGTGTGTGTGTGTGTGTGTGTGTGTGTGTCATACCTTGCTGCCATTCATATATCCATTTCATAATTACTGTATAATAGTTACCATAAGCAACTTTTTGTCCCTTGGCCTTTGTTCCCTACATTCGAATACCAGTCTGGTCTTTCTTTAGTGTGTTTGATTGTTCATCTGATTTTTTATTCGTTATTTAATCGTTATTGTAATGCTTATTTGTTCTGTGAAAATATCAATAAACCGATTGCCGAAAAAAAAAGTATATTCGCTAATAAGGCGTTTAAAAAAACGGAAATAGTTTTATTTTGATGAGTTTATTTGATTAACTTCCTGTAACACGTGGTATAATTTCTATTAACTTGGTACAGCTCGCTGTCACTGGTGGGAAGGAGCGTGCCTTCCCTTCCAAGGATGAATTAACGTTCTATCTGCGCTTTCCAGGGTCCCGAGGATAAACATGCTTATCGGGACTTCTATTTCAAAAATAGCTGAATGAAAGTTAAAAACGACCTCTATTTTCCTGCGCGGCAAAACTAAAGAAATTGTCACTCGAAAAGCGCGGAGAAGTTGGACGTCGTTTTTTTTTTTATTTTTTTTAACCGAGGTAAGATTTGTCGGGGAGCTTGTGGTTCTCGTGTGCTGGATAAAGGAATCTAGAAAGATTATGGATATGAGAAAATGAGCATCATTCAGAGAACCTGCAGTGTTTACATGTAAGGAAGCATGCTTATTAAGTGCATGTCTACACGTGGGTCTAATCTTCAATTACGAATTCGAGTTGAGGATTTGTTGACGACCAATTGAACATGGCACAGAGCACATGGTATGCATTTGAGGGTGGGGAGCAATATTCCTGTTGAGATGTTGCGAGCCATACCCAACCCTTCCTCTTTGGCGTGCTGTCACTGCGCTTGCACTGTCAAAGAGGGCATGCAGGTGACTTAGGTGTGATGTGTGACTTGAGGGGCAGCTCCTCTGCAGAAAAGAGGCAACATATGCCTTCTGCATAGTATAATGCAAACGTTGCTATGTATTGTAGGACCAGAGAGTGTGTGTTGATTTGAGTTCTTGCATCAAGAAGAAACAATAGCATAGCAATGTATTGCATCCAATTTAATTTAGAGGATATAAAAACGACATTTTTTCTGTCTTGAATGTTGGTTCTAGGTTTGAGCATCTTAAATGGCCAACAAAATCCAGAATGAACTATGTTTCCTTTGTTCTGTGCCCCTTTAAATGACAATGTTTATCATGTATTGTGTAGCAGTTCACCCCTCGCTCTCCTTCGACACAGTGGTGCAGCAGGTGTTTTCTGAAAGGTGGATTTCTCTGTACGTCTACTTAGTGCATCATCACGACCAGTGTGACATCACATGGGAAGAATCATGCTGGTTATGACACATTGTGTATCTTAGCAACAAACAGCATCCTCCTTTTGGCATGCCGTTCTGTGAGCAAATCCACACTTATGGAGATGAGGTGTTGTCTAAAAGCCCCATCAACTAATAGGGAAGAAATGAGTTTCAAATAAAACGGCGTTTTCTTATTGTACTCAAAACGCTTCCGTTTTTACCACGCCATGATCTTGTTGTTGCCAATTTGGAGGCTTTGGCTTGGTCATGATGTGTTTCAGTTTCGAGAGGGCGACAGTGACCTCCACTCGGTTCATGCTGCGTGGCCACATCTGGTTTGTGCTTTTGCTCCGAAGGCATTTTCACATCAACAATTTAGCCTGGGTGGACAGACAACGTGGCATATTTGAATTTTAGTGATTATATAGGATATCGTTATGGAAGGGAAAAAAAAATACATGGTGAGCTTGTATTTCAATGACCGTTCTTAACTTCACTGATAACCCATCCTGATTTCAGCTGTGGCATTTTGATGGGTCTTATGTTTTTCTAATGTGTCCCGCACATTTCCCATATAAGGTTAATTTAGAAATGTGACACTCACTTTCAACCAGGAAAAACATGAGCATTATCGTTGAATCCAGAGGGAGCGCTGTTAACATAAGATTCTATCATCCCTCACTAAAGAAAGCTGTTTATCGTACATTATTTCACTTTTTTTGGGCAGGGCCATTGCTGTATGTTGTTATGTTAATGATAAATGTTAATGTTTTGATAATGTGCAGTCGACGAAGAAATTTCTTATGGCTCTCTATGACAATCGTCTAAAATGTATGAATTGTTTATGTGTAAAAATGTCAAGCGCCTTGCTTCTCTAAAGCACATGGTTTCATCAAATCAACGCATTTACATTCAACATAATTCATAGTGAAATGTCAAATTTACTTTCAGCCAACAAATTGTGTTCCTCCATTTTTGGTCTTACGAACAGGACACATTACGCTCAACGTCAAATGTTGTCAAGACCATTTGTACAACATGACAGTGACTGACTTTCAAAATCGACATAAAGTGGAGTTAGAGGGTTTTCATTAAATGTATGATTCCAGATACACGTTGTCATATTGCTTCTGTACTTTAATATCAAGCAGCATTACTGAATGAATGAATAACAAACCAAGTGCCAAGCCAATACTCAAGTGAACAAAATATTTTTTGTCAGACAAACATTTTAATAAAGTGCTGTTTATTTATTTATTTATCTCATGGTTTACTTTTTTTATTGATGACAAAAACACTTTCCTTTAATTGTCTTTCAGATGCATCAAATTTTGTTTTGTGTTTGTGATTAAACATATAAAGATTATCCATCCATCCATTCATTTTCTGATCCGCTTTATCCTCACAAGGGTCGCTGTCTTCGGGCAAAAGGTGGGGGGACACCCTGAACTGGTTGCCAGCCAATTGCAGGGCACACAGAGACTAACAACCATCTGCACTCTCACTCACACCTAGGGACAATTTAGTGTTCCATCAACCTGCCATGCATGTTTTTGGAATGTGGGAGGAAACCGGAGTACCCGGATAAAACCCACACAGGCACAGGGAGAACATGCAAACTCTACACAGGAAGTCCTGAACCGGAATTGAACCCTGCACCTCTGCACTGTGAGGCCGACGCGCCAACCACTGGGCCACCAGGCTGCCGTTAAGATTAATCAACATTACATTTCACACAGTTAATTAGAAATCAACTAGTAGTAGATTATGATCCACAGGCGGCACGGTGGTTGACTGGTTAGCACGTCCGATTAGAAAATGAATGGATGTATTATGATGCACATACTTATTGGCTATGGCCATGCCCACACAGAAAAGGAAAGTCACTTATTACATGAAGCACGGCCGTATTCCACTGAAAGGCAAAATTGGCAAGTGTTTGCAAAGGCATCAAATATTAGATTTTTCACTGGGGTTTGGTTAAATTCACAAACATTCACAAAGAATGTCGATCATGTCAGAAACATTCGGTACCTTCTCAAACCTTCGCCGCTCAGTGGGATACTTGCTTTTCCGAGTACAGTATCAGTAATAAGCACGGCTGAAAGTACTCCAGTGCAGTGCCAGATTTCCGGCATAAGGTATTTCTGAACAAGATCCTGCCCTATCTGTGTCGCTTGCTTAAGTGCCTCCTTAACCATAGCTCATCAAAGGAGTAAATCCACCAAAAGTCAAATTAACAGCCACTAGCCAATCACAGGCAAAGTTGGCTTGACAGAGTGAGATGACAAATCCAGATACAAAACCCGCACATTTTCAAAGGTGGAACAAGTTGTGAAGTAAGTTCACATCTGCTGCCGCGGCTTTAATGAGTGACCGTGTGCGCAACCACAAAATACTCGTTTCATTGTCAATCTTGGCAAAAAAAGACAAAATGGAACTGATGAAACTGTCAAATCAACCTGTCAAATAGCAAACATCACAATCTGTGTATACACACACACACACACACACACACACACACACACACACACACACACACACACACACACACACACACACACACACACATCGCCAAGAACCGATTTCAGGTAGAATTTCCCTGCTTTCAGCCATGAATAAGTCCTTACCTCATGCATAAGATCAGACTCCTAGCCCCCAAGAGTCACTCTCCATGCCCTAACCAGATTTTGGAGTGTGTAAGTTTTCCACCAGGGCACGTCTCCAACTGCAGGCCACACCAAATTGCTTTAACTTCCAATTGTCCATTTAATTCAGTGGTTCTTAAAGTGTGAAAGATGGAAAACGTGACAGGTGGGAATGGAACAGAGTAGAATACGTTTTTAATCCATGCTGATTAGATTTGAAAACTTGTGGTGAAACTTTTTTTATGAAATGGTGCACAGGGAATGACGACAATGCAGAAAATGTGGGGTAAAAGAGAAGGTTATTCTCAGAAAACATGGTCCAGGAGTGTGACATTTGAGCCCAAAACTGAACAAAACCAGTGAAAAATGATATATGCTAAAATCAAACCTTCCTGCAGTGTGTAATGCGTTGTTCGACTTTAACTGAGTATGTACCACTTTTTCCAGAATTTTAGAAATAAAAGGCAGCTTGGAAATGAGTCTAAAATTAGACAACCCACCTTGGTGAAAGCCAAGTTTCTTAAACAGGGGTTACACGACAGCATGTTTAAAATGTTGGGGGTTTATACCAGAAGACAGATTTCAATTTATAAAGGCCAAAACCGATTCATCCAAACTCGGGAGACCCTCCTTAAAGAAGTGGGGAGGAACCGAGTCGTAAGGGGAGCTGGATGGCTTTATTTGGCGAACCACATCCTCTAAAAATGTCAAGCAAACTGCTTCAAAGGAATTGAACACCGTGGAACAAGAAACTTGGACAGAGAGGGGTTAAATGTGTTAAAATGTGTGTCAACCTTGTCAAAACTGTTCCACATTTCAGGAGAAATGTCTGTGCAAATAGGCTGATGGGTTTAAGTGCAGAATCAATAGTTTAATAGAACACATGGATTAGGGTGATTTGCATGAATAAGGTTTGACAAGTGTTCCCTTTTGGCGTCTAACGGATGCCAACCTGAGTTTTTCGCGTACCTTCAAATACGCTTATGAGACAATGGGCTGCCTTTTAGTTATGTGATTGGTGATCTATGTTTCCCAGCCAGCGGCGTGGGTTGGTTCCCCAATTTATGTGGTCGCCACAAGAGCAAAAACGCCAACGGATAAACATATCTGCCGCCAATGGTGGATGAATGAAAATCCTCTCATGTTCAAAAACTAATGACTACACCCCGCATCCCATTTTTGATGATGAAAAGTTAATGACTGAACAAATGTGACATTTTTTAGGTCTTCTGAAAATGGATGATTTTGGAGGTATTAAGCACGTTTTACTGTATACACTGTAATTTGTTGTTGACAAACCATCTCCTTGTGATACGGAAATGAAAACACGGAATGACAAAGTATTTTCCCGACTTCCTTTGGGCATCAAATTCTCATCCGCATCACAACAATTATCTTCACCCGCTGTGAGCTAATCCAGAAGAATGATTGATCAGTAGTTCATCTAATGCTTCTTATTATTATTGAGGGGAAGAAAAAGTCAATGTTGAATGGAAAAATGCTTGGCATTTTATGACAACTTGTTCAGCCATTTTGCATTAAAGATGAACTAATGCCAAAATGTGGGGTGTGAGACAATTCAGCAGAGACCCCTTCTAACAAATTTTGATCAACGTGACTTAATCAATTGACAATGTGGAAAACAGCAGAGAATTGTAAGAGTATAAAAATAAGTCTTAAGTTGACTTTCAAACATTTCTACTGAAGTAGTGGAAGTAATTTCCATAAACCGGAAGAAGTCACAGGGGCTAATTTTCATTGCTCAAAATACATTCACACACAAACAAGAGCACAAATCTCAGGAAGGTTGTTTATATGATCCCAACATTATATGTGCAATGTTTGAAACGGTCAAATCTGGTGATTGAACTTAAAGGGTAAAAAATATTAACTCTCAAACTCAGTCACCATCCGCAGTACGGGGCAGACCACCTTTTCTGAGAAGAGCCCAGAACCACTGTCTTGATCGGTGATGGGTCAATGAAGGGGATGCTCCAATGGTACTCATTTGAGCAGACAAGCACATCCACAAAATCAAGCCTCAAGCCCTGGTAACCCACACCAGGGTCCAAACATACTGTAAATGACTGCGGGTGCTGTCACTTGATCTTACTCTGACTGTTTTACTTTGAATTGATAAATCACTCCCTACATCACAACTACTATCTTTTCTTCTCATCTTCAGGGTGACTATTTGTAACATCAGATCATGGCCTACACCTTGGGTTCCGCCATTGATGGCCAGACACGTGGCGTAGGGCCTCAGCACTGCATCACACGGGTGGAGCTTTCTGTTACTGCCGCCAATCTTCTGGATCGCGATGTAGCCTCCAAGTCGGATCCGTTCTGCGTTCTCTTCCATGAAGTGGATGGGAATTGGGTGGAGGTAAGACAGGGTGCTGACAGAAAGGGGGGAACTGTTGTGCAGTGTCCCCCAACATTGTCTGAGTTAATCTCACAGCACACCAAACAAAAATACTGAAGTCATGAAAATATCATCTCAATTTACACACAAATATACGTAGTGTGAAATCTGGGCCTGTTTAACTGAAAGAAAAAAAAACTCACATTGTATGGCGATTATTTCAAAAGTACATTTTGATTTTGTTTTTGTTGCAAACAACGAAAAAAATACTGGTCTTTTTTTTTTGGTGGGTAAGGGTTTCTGTGTGGTTTTTTTTTGATATAAAGAGTCTTGGTATTGTCTTGGTCTCGACCTCCAAAAGTCTTGGTCTTGTCTTGGTCTCAATACTCACTTTTCTTGAATGTGTCTTTGTCAAGTTCAGGATTGCTCTGGAACAAAGTGGATCCCGCAAATGTAGACACAGGTAAAGATTTAACAAAAAAAATGTTTTGACAGAAAACGCAGTACCGACAAAGTACAACAAATGTCCCTGGAAACAACAGTGCCAGGATAACACGAGAGAAACACAAATCTCTTGCAAAATGCAAGGGGGAATAAACAACAAAAAATCGCTTGCCATAAAAAGACAAGGAAGTCCATTTATGAGAAATGAAAACAAAACGACAAAAACTATACTTAAACCGAGAAAACAAAACGTGAACAAGAGTGCTATGAAGAAACAAGGTCAAGATCATATAAATAATTGAACACTTGGTACATGAGTTGTGAGCAGGGCAAATTATCCGACAGCAGTGACAGGAGCGACTCAGGAGGGAACGCCCTCCGCTCCACCCGGAAAACTGAAACACAAACAGAGCAGAGCATGACAGTCTTAGTCTCAATTGGTGTGATCTTGACTCAACATTATTGCATGAGAAACAAGTCGGTCTTAGCTACAGCTGCTACAAAGTACATTTGTGATTGCATGTTGCAAAACAGTAAATACCGGTGTTGCATTTTTTTGTAATGTACTGTACAGTCAATTAAAAATCTAAAAGTGGTGATATGCTTAACTGTCAAGCAGAAATGTTACTTAGTCCTCCTGGGTCCTGGTTGCTGGGAGTGCCTGTGAGGCTGCAGCGAGTGATGGGCAATGTGAACGGCGATTGATTGACACCAAAACTTGGTCACGACTTCTGTCTCTACAGTCTACTCTTCAGTCTGATAGGCTATTATTGTCAAGGCACAGTCTGTCACAAAATAATAGTTGACAAATTATAGACATAAGACGGGGTCAGACATTTTCCTCCCCAAAATCATTTTAATATGCTTCTACTGTTAATTCACAGTTTTAATATGTATGACAAAAACTGTTAGCTTGAAAATGACTTGAAAAGTCATTTTCAATTAATTAAGTTAATTAATTTAATTGTTAGTTAATTGAAGCCTTGAAAAGTTAACCTCACAAGTTTTAGGAATGTGGCGGAAGACCCACCCAAAGTACAGGGCACATGGAAAGCCAGCTAACTCCACACAGGAAGGTCTGACCGCTCGGCTCGAGGCAGACTTGCTCACCAATACTCAACTATGCGTTCTCTGCAAAACATCCATCCATCCATTTTCTACGCGTCTTATCCTTTTCAGGGTCATGTGGAGCCGGAGCCCATGACAGCTAACATGAGACAAAAAGGCAGACTTAACCGTGGATTGGTTGCCAGTCAATCATAGGCCACACATAGACGCAGACAACCATTCACACTCACATTCACACCATTAATGTGTTGGGACTGAACAGGCACAGCCTGGATGGAAGTCAGGCGAACGTACCACTACACCAGTTTGTAAAAATAGGAAAAATTGAAATGGGGGGGGGGGGGGCATGCCAAGTGCTTGCAAAAAAGATTCTCAAATAAAAGAATGTATACAATAACGGGGGGTTTGGGGGGGGGGGGGCATGCCAAGTGCTTGCAAAAAAGATTCTCAAATAAAAGAATGTATACAATAACATGAAAAAGCAAGTAAATATTTTCTCTTTTTGGAGCCGGAATCGAACCCTCCACCTCTGTACTGAAGCGGACGTGCTAACCAGTTGACCACTGGGCCGACTGTTTGAATGTCAAATCCAGTTATTACCCTTAACACATGGAAAGAACTCTCGATTAAATCTAGTCCAATGTAATAGAACGACTCATGTCTGTTCATCCATTTTCTATACCGCTTATCCTCATTAGGGTCATTGGAGCCCGGGCCCAGGTGACTTAGGGAAAGACAGCAGTACCATCTGGACTGCTTGCCAACCAATTGCAGGGCAATGTAGAGAAACGTAACAAATATTCATTTACACTCACGTTCACACCTACGGACAATTTAAAGTCTTATATGAACCTAACAGGCATGTGTTGGAGAAATGCTTTACTCAGAAAACCAAACCCACACAAGCACAAGGAGAACATACAAACACCATAATGGAAGGCTCGTGCCCACATTTGAACCCACAACCTCAGAAGTGTATTGCATATGGTTAATATCACACTTTGTGCATTGCAAATGCTTATTAAGATGTTCACTACAAGATTGATTTCCCTGTATTTATGTGGAAAGAGAAATCATTCTATTGTGTTTGGGTTTCTGTTCATAGCCTTTTTTTTGGCCCCGTGCACAAATAATTTTGCTGTATGATGTCTGTTGGCAACAAGACACACGAGGTTGTGTATTTGTCTCTGTGTGTGCCTGCTTTTGTGTAGGCGAGACCTTTGTAGTAGCTATCTTACGGTCAGCGGGGCATGTGGCTGTGATGTGAAATTGCCATTGGTTGCTATGGTAACAGATAAAGAAACCAAATAAGCTTCATGCCAGTAGTCCAAAACCTTCTCTAGGCTGTTATCCACAGCGCTCGCAGTTTAGCAGATGCAACATTTCACATCCTCAAATCCCTCCAGTTAGCTTTTGTTGTCTGCAATTTATTTCTCCAATTGTTTTTTTCCCCCCTTATTTGCCATCTTTCTCGTGGCTTCTTCTTCTGTCTTTGTTCTGTGAGATCGAGAGAAGTGAGACTCAGCTGAGTCCATTGGGGAAATAGAGAGGGCAGGAAAAGCTAAAAGCGTGAACGCAAGCCAGAAAGCAAGAAATTGTGAGGCGATGACTGGGGTGAAGCAGAAATTAACGATAGAGTGCAGTGGTGAGAGACAAGCGGAACTGGGGCTGATTTTGAAACAACTTACAGAAAAAAAACACAATATAACTCATTGCATTATGTTCTTTGAATTAGGACCGAGAGATTTTGGAATCAATGGGCTTTGATGATCGTCAAAGCTGTGTTTTTTTTTTTTTTTTTTTTTTTTGTGTGTTTTGTTTTAAGTACTCTTATCCCCCCAAAATCACAATGAGAAGCGGTTATGCCACTGGTGGACAGGTCACATTAACCAATCAGCTCAAAGCCGATTAAAGAAAAATAAAATGTTGCATCCATATCATGCTGTCACCATCCTCATTGAGTCCTTGCTTTCCTGGGAACGCCTTTGTGGCGGCAAATAAGATAATAATAATCAGCAACACAATCAGGGTTCTCACGTAACACCTGACAGCCTACCAAATGCAGATTAAAATTCATTTTAGTGCATGTTGGTGAAACTTTACATGTCAGTGCCATCCGATGGGAATCACCAGTGGGGCTTATCTATCTATCTATCTATCTATCTATCTATCTATCTATCTATCTATCTATCTATCTATCTATATTATATGTATTTTCTCCCTCTCCCTCTCCCTCTCTCTCGCTCTCTCTTGCTCAGAACATTCAGTGTACTCTCATAGGCTGAAGTAATTTCCCTCGAGATCATAAAAGCTTCAATCTATCCATTGTTGTACTGTAAAACTGCATCACTATACAATAGAAGCAAACAGAGTAACCAATTGTTTCCACAATCTACACACATGGTATTGGATTTGCTTTCTTAATCACAGGCTTAATTAAAATATTATGAATCAACAATTCAATTCCTCTACACAGTATTATTACAAGTGCAAACAATTTACTGGATTAGAAAATTGATTAATTGTTTTGTTTATCCTTTTTACCTAGATATTACTGCATACTGTTTTGATCATATATTCATTCGCAATTTTAAATCCAGCGTTCCAAAAAGGTTGAAACTGAAACGCTTTCTCATCTCTCCGTGTGTTTCAGCTTGGCCGGACTGAAACAGCTGTTAATAACTTGAACCCAGTTTTTGGAGTGAAATTCCAGGTGGACTACCACTTTGAAGAGATTCAGAAGCTTCGCTTTGCCATGTTCGATGAAGACAAGTGTGCAACGCAGCTCTATGAACACGATTTCTTGGGAGAATACGTTTGCACGCTTGGAGTTGTATGGAATAATTTCACTTCATTAGCTATTACCAAACCTTATTTTAGACATCACATTATTCTGTAATAATTCCTGGAATATGTGCCCTTTACATTTTTTGCTAGATTGTGTCCAATAAGAAACTTCACCGGCCATTGATCTTGGCCAACGGGAAGCCCGCGGGTAAAGGATCCATTACTGTAAGTACCTATCCTTTGTTTTCAATGTAGTTTTGTCTTTCCTTTTGAGGCGATTATTTTGTTGACGTGATGTTATCTGGAATGCGCCTTCTGCTTATGTTATGCTGTATGTAATGTTCAAATAGATTACAGCCCAGGAGCTGTCTGACAACAGAATCATCACTTTGACCCTGAGTGGGCGTAAACTGGACAAGAAGGTAGGTGGTTCTCTCCACAAAAATCCAAACATTCTCAGCGTGAGGCTAAGGGGGTTCAGTAAATGGATAGAATAGGACCCACACATCAGTGTTTACGAATGGATGGAATAGAATAAATGGAAAGGCAAGGATTATAATTTTGAATTCCAATTATAGGTGAAGATTTAAATCCCCCCCCCCCAAGTGGACCAATTTACAGATATTTCGGATGGTTATTGTAGAATACAAGATTACCACCTGAGCGCTGTTGTGGATTTCTAGAGTCAAGAAACGACAGACTTACAGACTGGATATCTTTATGTACTTACCAAAATGGAATGGTTAACATGACACCATCTATTCATCCATGTTCTTCCCTGCATTCAGGGTTGGGTCACAAAGGCAGCTTTTGAGCAGGGAAGCCCACACTAGCCTCTCCCCACCCATTTTGTCCAGCTCTTCCAGGGGAATCCCTAGGCATTCTCAAGCCAGTCGGGAGACAGTCTCTCCGATGTGTCCCGGGGCCTCCACCCAATGGGATGTATGCAAAACACTTCACCAGGGAGGCGTCCCGGGAGGCATTCTAACGAATTGAACTCCTCCCCTTGGGGCAAGAGCTCATCCCCAACCTGGAGAGGGCACTCCAACCTTTTCCAACTGAGGACCATGATCTCAGATTTGGAGTTGCTGATTTTAGTCACTGTTTCATACTCGGATGCAAACAGCTCCAGTGATCGTTGGAGACTGCAGGTTGATGGCTGGGATAGGCTCCAGCATGCCCACGGCCCTTGTGAGGATAAGCAGATTAGAAAATGGGTGGATGGATGGATTAATGAGAAAGGGCAACCTTGGCAGAGTGAAACCTTCATTGGAAACGAGTTTGACTTACTGCCAGCAATGAAGACCAGACTCTGATATTGGTCGTACGGGGACTGAACAACCCATATCGGGGGGTTTGATACACCCTACTCCCGATCTCCTCATGCATTCTCCCTGTCTACAAAACACATGTAGCTGTCCCATGTGTCATGGGTGAACTCCCATGCACCCTCAAGAACCTTGCAGATGATGTAGAGCTCCATCCCCACTCTACAAAATGTTGATGGTGCACTGCTTACCAACCTCTGAAACGCCGGATGTTGGACCAGAATTTCCTCAAAACTGTTTTCCATGGCCTCATTAGACTCCTCCCATGCCCAAGTTTTTTCCGCTGAGTCAGCTGATAGTTATCAGCTGCATCCCTAGTCCCATATGCCATGCCATATTTCTTTGTCGTGAATGGCATAAATCCTGCGTGGCACATGTGTAACTCTCTATGGAGGCAGGTTAGGAAGTCTGGCAGTTTCACAGATGAGCACAGGCTGGCAGATCATATAGCGCGAGGGCTGTGACGCTGTGGGAGTGGTCACAGCCGACTTCATTTATGGCCAATCAAAGTGGCTCCATTCATTCCCTTTAAATGCTGTGTCCTAGTACTTTGTTCTTAACATGGCAGAGAGCACAGCTGCACTGTGAAGTGGACATTTGGAGACCCCCTGCCACCTTGAGCGTTCATGTGCCTCCTATAGCTGTGTTGCTAAATGGGATGATTGAAATCTTTATAATAATAATACTAATGCTTTTAATTAATTGATTTCTACAATGATTCAGATTGTTTCATACTGGTTGTACACGTGACATTCACGTCCGCGGTGCTCACTATCAGCCTTCCTGCGTCTCGATCAAATAAACTCAGAACGTGAATGTGCCGATCACCAAAATCTCATTGACCAGCTGTCTACCCATAGATGTGATCTGAGCAGGGATAAATTTAGATGGACTTTCTGGAACCAAATTATCACTGCCAGGCGCATCTCCAGCGACACTCTTGATGCTGCCCTGGCATGCCCATCTTGGCGGAGACCGGTCTGCCAAATTGGCTAATGCATGCAGAGCGACATGAAAATCATGACCCGCCGACATTTGCACCCAAAACGGATCTGCTGTTGACAAATATTGAGGCCATTAACTATATAAGACAATTCCAACATAATGCGTCCTTGTTCTTTGCAGGACTTCTTTGGGAAGTCAGACCCCTATCTGGAATTTCACAAACAGGGAGAAGATGACAAATGGATGCTGGTGCACAGGACGGAGGTGAGTCCAACGTTTTTACTGATGTACTTAAGTATGTTTCTGTTGTGGGTGCGACTTGGTATGATGTCTGGTACTTTTTGATTTAATGAATTAATTGTTACTTGTTTATCTTTGTGTCACCCAAGGTCATAAAGAACACTTTGGACCCCTCTTGGAAACAGTTTACTGTGCCTCTCGTTTCTCTCTGTAATGGAGATGTGAACAGAAATATCAAGGTCAGTTTCATGTTGTACAAAGCTGCAGCCAGATGGCTTTTCTCCTTGAACTTTCATTCCACTCTAATGGCACACTGTATGACTACTTAGACTTTCCGTAATTCACATCTAACTGCAGAAACCAAGCCTTTAGTAGAAATGCATATGTGCAAAGTATTCGTTGACTTTGGAATGCATTTTTTAAGCCTTCCATATTGCAAGCGACGACGATGGATATACTGTTAAATTTTCACATCAACTCAACTGCAAGCTACCCACCTCTGCATGGGGGCAGCATGGTTCAATGGTAGAGTGGTCGTTTCCCAACTCAGAGATTGGTGATTCGAACTCTGGCCATTGCGACCATGTTGAAATGTCCTTGAGCAAGATACTGAACTCCCAGTTGCTCCTGATGCTGCGTCATTAGTAGGTGAATGAGGTTACAGTGTAAGGCACTTTGAGTACCCAAGGTAGAAGAGCGCTATATAAGTGAGCGCCCATTTACTATTAGAATGACTGATGTATTATTTGTCTTACACAATAACAGGTTTTGTGTTATGACTATGATAATGACGGAGGCCATGACTTCATTGGAGAATTCCAAACAACAGTGGCCAAGATGAGTGAGGCTCAGAATTCCGTGGAGGTAATGCTTGTTTTCTTTAAGGTTTCCATCTTCACTAAAACTTTTTATGATACACAGTGTAATAAGTTGAGGTGAAAGTTGAACATTTTGGGCCCAAATTTCGTTGGCAGACGCCCGTGCACTCTCTGTAGAAACAGTTGCATTATCATTTGGGTTATTTTTGGCAAGTTTAGTCTAATGTGTTTGGGACTGTGATGCACGTCATTGGGCATTCCCGCACATGGAGCTGCTGTACCATTACACATAGATGCTTGATCGGGTTGCAAGGATATATCACCCGCAAGGGGAGATTTTGCGGTTTACCTGTATATACCGGTACTCACCCCAGCGAGTCTATTTCTGCATCTGCAACGTCAAACTTGGCATGCACACCAATTTTCTTGGTTTTAATGCAAATGAGGGATGCCGCTACGATTGGCTGGGAGTCGGCTACTTTCCATCCCACAACACCACAAACGCTTATTTAGGCACATTTCTACCTGTGCAAAGTAGAGGAAAATACTAAAAGGAAAAAAAACCCATCACCCACACACACAGTTAAACTGATCATACATTGAGTTTTTTTTTTTCTCATCAACCTCACATTTGCGGGCTGTAAAAAATATTACTTGTACTTTACAATAAATGAAAAAGATTGAAAACCTGTATAAGTGGTTGAAATCCCAAATGGTTACGATGCCGATAACAAATTGTGAGGGCCACAGATACGGATTGTATAGTGTGACCAGAGAACCTGATCTATAGTTTCCAAATAAAACCAGTCCACTGCTTATTTTTTTCCCCTTTCTCTGATCTGTTTTTAAAGCAGTTGATGGTAGCCAGTAGGTCTAGAGATGCTTCCTGGCCTCGATGAGCCACACAAGACAACACTCATTAAAATCACTCCAGTTTCACACCAGCTCAAATGTTCAGCCAGCAAACTCACACTGCACATCATAACAGAAGAATCTCCACCATCTGTCTCAATATCTGTTCTATGCGCCCAGGTTTTGTTCTTTATTTATCGCTCTGTTCCTCTGTTGAATCCACCATTTGTCCACATAAAATCTCTGAGGCTGTCTGACGTTTAGTTTGCCATAACTGACTGCTTTTAGCTTGGGAGACAGTTTTTGGGCCGGTGTGAAGGCATTCGGTGGCAATGTATTACATCAGTAACATGCTGTCAGAAAGTATGGTACCGATTCAAATATTGTAGGGTCCTTCAGCTTAATTAACCAATGAAATTGTGGAGGATTTTTTTTTGTTTGTTTAGTAAACATCCTAAACAAAACCCTGAATCAGAATATTGGAAAGTGTCCGCTAGCAAGAATTCGACATATACTGTGCACGTCTGAGTGCCACTATGTAAATTCCACACTTTTATAATACTGTAAGATTTAAATATGAATTATATATTCAGCAGCCACATTATTATGAACACTTGAAATTCCACCAAGATAATAACTTGTTGATTGGCAAAATTGGAGAAATATACATTTTGCATGATCCAACCATCCATTTTCAATCCCATTTATTCTATTCAGGGAGGCAGAATGCTCAAGCCTATCCCAGTTGACTTTGGACTAAAGACAGACTACACCTTAAACTGCTCACCAGTTGGTCACAGGACCATTCGCAATTACAATCACATCATCAGTGAACCCACACCACGTGTACCAAAGTCAGGCGATTGTACCACGACCCCATCAGTGACTTCATTTAATCATACGGTATGCTTATTATTGTGATTGTAAAACTGCTCTACATTATCATTTGCTAGTTTTTTTCTCTCTCTCATTTACCCAAACTAAGCAAAATGAGGTTTCCCCATGAGAGCACTAGAGCTGCGATGAACTTATCCTTTAAGTTGTCTTATTTTCTTTTCCTCCCAGCTGAAGCAAACTACTCAAGTTCATAAGCTTGATGTTTCCTTAATGGTGCATAGAAGATGCTGAATATTTTCATTAAAAGTTTAATTTAAAATAAATGAAAACAGCAGAAATCATGCCAATACAATGATTGTGACTGTTTGGGTACTTGATGTTGTCAGTTGCTATGGTCCTTATTTTGTCAAACACGATTGGGCGTGGCCTGGTTTCTTTTATTATTTAAACTTGGTTCTCAATGAAACGTCAGAATGTCAAATTATCTTCCATGCCGCATTGCATCTAGCCCTGCTTTCTGTTGTTTCTTTGTATTTTTATAAATATAAGACTTTTTACTTTGCCTCTCCCATGCCTTCTCTGCTTCTGGGTCCAAATTCTGCTTCTCACGTCACAGTATGTTCTGACACTCATAGACCCAGCAAACTCAAGACATAATCCGTCGAGCTGTCAGCGATTAGGAAGCAATGCTCAACAGACACGAGAACCTCCTGAAGAAGGTTATGGGCTCTATTTAGAATTGTTGTACCACCGTAAATTCAATGGCCGCCCAGTTGATGCCCAGCGCTTCCCTGCAGATGTCACAACCTGCTGCAACCCATTTAGCGACCTCCCATCAGGGAGTGAGCGTCTCACCTGCTGCTGCTTCACCTTTTCACTGAGAGCTCAACATTCCGTCGCCCGGACATTATTCCGGGCAGGCAGATTCCTGCTGTTGGTTGGTTTTTGAGCAGCAACCTAATGCATATTTGGACAACCGTGCCAAGTTGGCTTTTGTTGTTAACTTGCTTTGGGGACGAGCAGGGAGGTGGGCCTATTCTTTGTGAGATCAAAATCGGAGACATTCGAATCATTTACCTTTTTTACTTCCAAGTCTTTGATCAGCCCTTTATTTATCAATCCTTCGGCAAACGGCTAATGTCATAACATCAGCGCTCTCAGTCAGCTGCAACCTATTCCATTGAGTTCAGGATTTTGGCCTTTTGGAGTGATGATATGAGGCTAGCAAAAAGCAGCTTTTGTTTGCGGACTATCGGAGCTTCATGATCAGCTGTCCACTCAGGAGGAGCAATTAATTCCGTGGTGATTCGGATTGACCATCGCATAAGAGAAAGTCGTCGGAGCGCTAGACATGCCCTCCTTCCCTTGTACCACTCCTTAACTGGTCACCCGGCCTTCTAAAAGCCCCGAGATGCCTGCTGCCGTGGGTGAAGAACCTTTTACAGTACTTTTATGTCAGCAACAGTGAACTGTTGGCTGTGGTGCCCAGGAATGAAGAAATTGGCTGGATGGAGCTGAGATCCCTTTCTAGTACTAACAGATCACTAAAACCTCACACATCTGCGATCTGCCAAGTGCCTAAATTCACAGCTTTCATCCTGAATTCCGTCTGCTCGCAAGTCTTGCCATAGGGACACTCCTCCAAGTTGGCACGACTACAATACTGAGGTGAATAGAACACTCCGGTTCTTGCGACAACTCTTCTGCTGGTCCAGGGTGGCCCAGGATATCAGGAAGTTTGTGCCAGCATGTTTCATCTGCTCCCGAGGGAAGTCCTCTCACCATTGCCCCATAGGCAACCTCTACCCATCCCTAGCCATCCCTAGTCCCACCTGTCAATCGATTTCTTCTCTGGTCTGCCTCCGTCCGATGGAAACCAAGTCATATTGACCACAGTTAACCGATCCTCCAAGATGGTTCATTTCATTCCTCTACCCAAACTTCCCTCCGCCCTTTAGACTGCGGACATCCTGGTCAGCCATGTTTTCAAGCTCCATGGCATCCCCATTGACATTGTTTGCCTGCTCACAACTCAGATATGGCAAGCCTTCTGTAATGATCTTGGGGTAGCCTCCAACCTCTCTTCCGGTTGTCATTCTTAAAGCAATGGACAATTGTAGAAACCAATCAAGACCAGGAGTCCATCCTAAGATGCGTCAGGGCCTGCCCTGTTGTAACTGTGATCGGGTACTTGATGTTGTCAGTTGCTATGGTCCTTTATTTTGTCACACAGGGTTGGGCCTGTCCTGGTGTCTTTTAAGCTTGAGTTCCTCAATGACACCTTGTCAGAAAGATTTTCTTCCATGCCAGTGTCTGATTCTGGTTCCAAATTCTGCTCCTCATGTCACAACAATAAGCCCTTGTTGTTAATGAAATTATGATTTTTTTTTTTTAATTACTCAATTACCTGCAGTAATTTGCCCAAAGCCATGTTCTGTGGTGCGTGCTATGCACTTTGGGCTAATCTGTATTTTAATTCAAAATGTATGAAGTTAATCATTATTATGACTATTCATATGTGTAGATATGCTTTATACTCCTGAATGAGTGAGAAATCTGTGCTGAATAGACATCGAATGGATTTGAATTTTCCATTTATGCTTTCTTCATCGGCTAATGATGCATTGTGCAGAAAATGGTGAGTTCCCCATCAAATGTGTGTATGTGTCAGTGTTTGTGTATGGGCGTGTTGTAGCAAAGCAGCCACATGACTTGTTCTCCCACTGAGCCTGTTCACATGTGCCAATGGTGTGTGTCTAAAAAGAGCTCACAAGAAAAGACAGGCTAGATGGGGGATGGAGAAGAATGAGAGGAGCTTTTGAGATGCAAAATCTTTCGCTGAAACTTCCAGTCACATAACAGGGCATTAACTCCTTACTTTTTGGTTCACTGACTTCCGTCAAGCATTTTGTGTTTGATGGTTTAAAAACAACAACACAACTGTTATATCAGTAATAGTTAAACCTCCATTAACTGCCACTCCTGCAATCATATCCGTGTTTAGCATATTCATCTTTTTTCTCTAAATCTTTGCCAGGTGGAATTTGAATGCATCAACCCAAAGAAACAAAAGAAGAAGAAGAATTATAAAAATTCTGGCGTTATTATCCTCCAATTTTGTAAGGTAAGGATGAATGCTGGACAATGATTTGTTCCTATCAATAAACTGAATTCAATTAGCTGTACATTCCAAGATTGACTTGGAAGTTAAAACAAAAACAAACAAAAAAATCAATGCAAACAAATTTGAGTGTTTGTGAATGTTTTAAGATGACATTAAGGCTGTCATAATTATTTTTTTTCTGCATCTAATCTTATTCACATATGCCTGAAATCAGATGGCTTCATGGCTGGTATTTGTTGGTTGAATGAATGATTTTTGACTAATTATGATTTTACGACGAGCCAGACCCCAAAGCAGAAAGAATTCTTCCTTTTCTTAAGCTTGTGACTGATTACTAGAAACATCAAGGTGCGCTTCTTTGCGCCAGTTCTCCCCGCTCACGATGCCGCTTGGGGAAAACAAGAACAAACACGAAAAGGATCATGGAGTGAACAGAAAAAGAGGAAAAAAAATAACGAAACTGAGTGTATCATGACACGAGTAACAGAAACATGTCTGCTGCATATTCCTACAACCAACTGGCGACAATAATATGAAACAATAATGATATCCGTTGACATGGTGTTGGGAAAACATGGGTTGTATTGACATTTTACAGCAAATGTACTAAAATAAATGTGTCATGTTGTTTCTCCAGATTACAAGAGACTACACTTTCCTGGATTACATACTTGGAGGATGCCAGCTCATGTTTACTGTGAGTTTGATAGCGATACATACATGTCTTGAGAATCGTCAGAACAGACACCAACAAAATGATTAAACTGGTCAAAAGCTTGCACAATATGGATTTTACCGAGTGTAATTTACACTTATGACATTTCAGAAAAATGACACCTGTCTGAATTTAACCCTTAATTCCGAAATATTACTAAATATAATACAAAAAATTATTATTATTATTATTTAAACCTATATGTGCTAGGGAAAAGACAAGGGCAGATTCACAATCAACACAAAAAAAATTATCCTAATAAATTTTACTTGCCTCTCTGGTTAAAACATTTTTTAAAATTGTGTTTACCAGTGTTATTTGTTGAAATTACAAATAGCAGCAGAGTGATCTTAATCCTGTTTTAATAAACACAATGTACAGCACAATGTAAAACTGAAGGCCGGGGGGCCAGGTCCGGCCTGCCAGTTCATTTTATGTGGCCCGTGGAAGCAAATCATGTGTGTCAACTCGCTAAAATCTGTACCTAAATGTCGAATTTTTATGAGTAGTAAATAACGTTGAGATTTTGCAATTACTATGTTACCCTGTTTACCCTCACTAGAACAATAATTGAACAACCTCTCTTAATCGACTTGATTGGTTTCAAAACTACAGTAGTAATCTATTAATTTGTTGTGTAAAAGTAATAATTTTGTGCTTTCACTATTTTCATGGCCCTGCGAGGGAATACGTCACTCCAAATTGGCCCGCGACGAAAATGAGTTCGACACCCCTGATGTACAGGATGTAAAAATTGGCCCCTTTGTTCTGGGGGTTGGGATGGGATTCCAAATGAGAGCAGTCCACCCTCCTAATCTTTTGTCACAGACATGCAGCTCTTTCAAGGTTGCACACATACTGTACATATGCATCTTGCAGCCTACTGACTAAACCGTTTAACACACAAGTGTGTATTATCTATCTCACTCTGAGCGCACGGCCTCTCTCCTGCTTCACTGTAGGCAATTTACAAACTTCCATCCCTGCACACAAATATTTTCTTCCCCATACTGGCATTTCATCTCACAAATTACTTAACTGTATGAAGGACGTTACACGCAGTGCCCATACACCTTCGATATCTTCACACCTTTCCTGCCAAATCACACCGATTAAGACACGCTAAGATTCATGCTGAATCTAACTATCACATCGTCGTGCAGTACACACCGAATGTATATTCACAGATGTCACAAACATGTACAAAGAGACAAAATCGTGCACATGCAGACACGCGCATGCAGATTGAGCTGTTCTGCGGTGTTCAATCAGACTTAGAATGACTCTAATCCTAATCTCCAGGAAGGAAAACTCTCTCCTCTCTTCGGGGTTGTGCGGCTTTAGGGAACGGAAACATTTCTCGGTAACACTCCCAACACAAAGAGGTTTGCTAGTGCTGCTGGGATGTTTGTCATAGAAGCATTTGGCTTTCAGCCATATCTTATGTTTGATATCATTTAGGGCACAAATGCATCTTTTGAGTAGATAGAACACTCAAATGCTCGACATTCAATGAATTCAACACAATTTATTAAAAGACCAAGCATTCTCATTCCTCGCAGTTAGTGGCAACTCCACAAATTTAAAATGTTATTTATTTTTAATAAAAACTATATTCTACAATACGGCTCAGGTGTAAAAGTTATTGAAATTATCATTAGTTTCCCCCCAACATTTGCATTGATATATATTGTTTGTTTGGTTACTGATAAATTGCCTATAATTCGTTGTTAGTGACCCAGTCAAGCCATTTTGATACAACAGGGGGAATCAAGAGGCCCTCAATGTTTATAACTTCTTTAGGTCGGGATGTTGCTATCTTGACAATGATCTACTACAGTCATTGTAATGTAAAAAAATTTTTTTGAGAAACAGCTCTTCGCAATTTGATGCCCAGACATCAATTGTTTGCTTGCAGAATGATTCTACTGAAGGGTTCGTCAGAATCACTATAAAGTTTGGTTTTATGAGCAAGATTATACCAGGGCTACTTGCAACCCTTGCAAAGCTTTCATTTTATCACATGAGAGGAGACTTCCAACATGCATTTATACTCATTCACACTCATGTATGAATTTATTTGCATGAGGTTTTCAAAAATAAAGCTCTCTAGTTAAAAAAAAAAAAAAACAATTAAAAAAAAAAAAAACTTGTAAATTCAAGTTCATAAAATTGATATAAAAGCCGGTTAAGAAAAACAACCCTGTGAGAGGTTCACACTAAATTTCATCAAAAAGTAAAAAATCAATAGAAATAAATTTTTGGACAATTCATCAACGTATGTAAAGATATGTGAAGCTATAATATATTTATTTCTGTAGAGTTGGAAAAAATATAGCTGGTAATAAAGCAAAACAGTGATTCGTTTTTTTTTTTTTTTTTTTTTTTTTAAGATTTTGGTATTGGTGGTGGCACTACCAAATGATGACGTCAAGTGAGAGATGAGAACAAACTTCTGTTCTCCTGCCTTGCCACTCAGGCTGTGTTCAAATTCGCAGGCCGCATCTAACCCGTGGCGAATTCGGACAGACTTAATGTGAATTTTGAAACCACGTGCAGCCTTCCCAGACACAGGCTGTGAATTTGGACACAGCCTCAGTGTACAACGCAATTACCATAGAACAATGTGGGCAAATGACCATTTTTTTTCTTTTTAATTTTCTGCTGCAAGGAACTGCAATCGTTTAAATTCAAACAATGCCAATTCGAATCTATGCTATTTTTTCTTCTCTCTCGTTTTTACCCCTGGCAGTGACTCCTACATTTTTAATAAATGCTATGAGAGCTAAAGTTGGAAAAAAGAATGTGATTGGCTGGTAACTTTAGAGAGTCAGCAGCCACACTGGTACTGTTCAAAAAAGTTCATTTAGAGCCCTATTTGCAATGTACACAACAGCTGGGTGTACCAACCAGAAATGTTGAGTGGTATTTTTCCTCTGGATAGTTTTCTTGTAATTTTATTGATCTTTTATCCACTTCATTGCCATTCCATCCATATAAGATGCATTTTAAAAATAAATACAGAAAAGACCAGAGAAAAGTGCTGTTAATTTCACATAATGTTAAAATACAATATCGGGATACTGTAGTGCACAGGTGTTAAACTCAAGGCCCGGGGGCCAGATCCGGCCCGCCATGTCATTATATGTGGCCCGCCAAAGCAAATCATGCGTGTCAACTTCCATGATCCTTGCTAAAATCTGTACCAAAATGTCAAATTGTCACATATAAATAAACAATTTTGAGATTTTACAATAATTTTGTGACCCTGTTTCACTCACTTGAACGATAATTGAACAAACTATTGTAGTTGACTGCTTTCAAAACTAGTAATCCATCAATTTGTTGTGTTACAAGTAATAACACGATGAGATGATGAAACATTTATTTGTTTTCACTGTCATAACGGCCCTCCAATGGAAGACCAAAGTCTAAAGTGGCCCGCAACAGAAATGAGTTTGACACCCCTGCTGTAGTGTTACAAGGATTTGAAATTAGCTACACTGTACTATCCATACTGCACACTGAGCACAGCACTGTTCAGACTTATGAATGGATGGCTGTCGCTCAATAATTTGATATCTCATATTGAGTTAGAACGTGCGTTAGAATGGTTATTATAGAGAAGCTGACTGCCATTCGTCATCTGTCGTTTCACCTTAACCATCGATCAGGAGCATACAGCTCCTTGGTTTATGACCTGTGCTAATTTGCTTAGTGAACAAAAACAAAGGCAAACACATGAACATTGTGTGCAATCAAAATATTCGAACATAGACAGAAACATCTTTTGTATGATAATATATCACGATAATGGTGTATAATGGTCATGACATGAATCGTGTCATACGGTACAGTATATCACTGAATTCCCTCACCCAATCACAAGTAGATAAGGAATTGGATCAATAAGCAGCATCAATAACGGTATTGGAATTGATCAATTCTTATGTACCGTATTTTCACGACCATTCGGCGCACCGTATTGCTGGGCGCAGTCTCAGTAACGGGTGCTATTTCTGTATCTGACAAATCCACAAAACGCACTGTATTATTGGGCGCAGCCAGGCATGGTAAAACATACGCCAGCTTAAACATACGGCATGCATGCACGCACGCTAAAAACACGTTAGCTTAAAGCATACGGTAGCAGCTAAGACATACGGACACACGCTGAAAACACGTTTTTAAAAAGGCAACAGAAGCAAAACTTGAGTTCGGTTGTACTTTATTTAGCCATTTTACAATGTACTCACGCGACTAGTACCTGGTAGGGGCGTGCCTTTAGCGTCCTCTTACACGCCTACCCTTCACTCATTGGCGACTGGTACCTGCTAGGAGCGTGCCTTTAGCGTCCTCTTACACGCCCACCCTTCAATCATTGGCGACTGGTACCTGCTAGGGGCGTGCCTTTAGCGTCCTCTTACACGCCCACCCTTCAATCATTGGCGACAGGTACCTACTAGGGACGTGGCTTTAGCGTCCTCTTACACGCCCACCCTTCACTCATTGGCGGACTTCCGCATGCCTGTCGTCACTCACGTCCGCCTTTTCTCTGTATAAACAGCATGTCGGCCAGAAGTGCTCTCAGTCAGGCTTTGGAACTCGTCGCGTACGCTCTGCATTATAAGGTGTCCTGTCCATTTTGGAGAAAATTTAAGACTTTTAATGGCGCCTTATAGTCGTGAAAATACGGTATATGTATAATGCCAATGCAAAGTGATATTTATTTTCAAATTTCCTCACACCACCATCTGCCTAGCTTACTGTGTCTGAAATGTCTCGGATTTATATTATTTAACATTGTTTTGGAAGCAGTGACATTTTTCAAATGTACTGCAAGGGCAGCTTTTGGAATATTCCATGACAAAAATAATGCTCGCCATTTTCGCATGCCATTGCTTGTAGAACGGGAGGGCCTGTCATGTTATATTTAGTGTATTTTGTGTTAACAATTACAAATAGCTTGGGGCTAGAAAGCGGTTGGAAACAGAATGGTGTCATCTCCCACTGCCACCGAATTCACACTTATCAAAGTAATGATGTCTACACATTACTGAGGAGAAAATGCCATCACGACTTGTGAAATGAAATGTTTTAGCAAGATCTAATTAATTCCCCAGATGGCATTGATATGCGCAATAGAAATAAAATAATCTTGCATGTCTGGAAGCATTCAGGGTTTGCACATAGGCGGTGGTTGTTCATTTGGGCTACGGCTTAACGGTTAAGGTTTCTTTACACTTTTAACTGGCATTGCAAAGAATATCTTTATTAAGTTATATACATTAAGAGCAATTCTTAAATGGAAAAAAATATATCTACTTATTTTTTCTATGAGGACAATCCCTAAAAATATTACCCAATTTTGAGCAAAAATAACTGATTAATTCAAAATCCATTACTTGTACACTTATGTAAAAGGTCACTTAAGAGTAGGTTGGAAGTTACCATCAGCACACAATTGCCTCAGGAAAAACTTGTCACTTTGTATCTCACGTTTTGCAGCATTTTTTGTGTGCGCGCGCGTGTGTGTCGGTGTGTGTGTTACTTTAATTCATATGTGGTGTATGCTAAAAGGGTGGCAGGGCGTTCCAGTGGTTAGCACGTCAGCCTCACAGTGCAGAGGTGCAGCGTTTGATTCCGGCTCCGGCCCTCCTGTGTGGAGTTTTTGGTTTTGACAATTGATTTGGCTTCACTGTCATAGCGGCCTTTTAAAGTGGCCCGTGACAAAAAAATGTGTTTGACACCCCTGATCTACTGTATCAAAGGTGGCACTGAAATACAATAACACCAGTGAGTTGTATTGAATCCACATTAGACCTGATGTAATTTATAGACTTTAAAAAAGGCTATCTTGGTCCTGCGATTCGTCTCAAGTCCATATTGCTATTTCTCTAAAACGTTGTTTCTATTTCAGAAATAATTTAATTCGTAAACATTTGTTGTTATATACATTAAGAGCAATTCTTAAATGGAAAAAAATATATCTACTTATTTTTTCTATGAGGACAATCCCTAAAAATATTACCCAATTTTGAGCAAAAATAACTGATTAATTCAAAATCCATTACTTGTACACTTATGTAAAAGGTCACTTAAGAGTAGGTTGGAAGTTACCATCAGCACACAATTGCCTCAGGAAAAACTTGTCACTTTGTATCTCACGTTTTGCAGCATTTTTTGTGTGCGCGCGCGTGTGTGTCGGTGTGTGTGTTACTTTAATTCATATGTGGTGTATGCTAAAAGGGTGGCAGGGCGTTCCAGTGGTTAGCACGTCAGCCTCACAGTGCAGAGGTGCAGCGTTTGATTCCGGCTCCGGCCCTCCTGTGTGGAGTTTTTGGTTTTGACAATTGATTTGGCTTCACTGTCATAGCGGCCTTTTAAAGTGGCCCGTGACAAAAAAATGTGTTTGACACCCCTGATCTACTGTATCAAAGGTGGCACTGAAATACAATAACACCAGTGAGTTGTATTGAATCCACATTAGACCTGATGTAATTTATAGACTTTAAAAAAGGCTATCTTGGTCCTGCGATTCGTCTCAAGTCCATATTGCTATTTCTCTAAAACGTTGTTTCTATTTCAGAAATAATTTAATTCGTAAACATTTGTTTCTAAAATTGTCCTTAAAAACGGTAGCTTCGACACAGGTCAGTAATTGTTCTAAATTATCTTCCTCAAAAGAGGCTTCACCACTGCCTGTTTTTGAGCAGTGGGGAAGACACCCAATCTGAATCGAGTAATTTGCAACATTTAAAATCTGTTCCTCAAAGAAGCGATAAAACAGTTTTAAGAGTGATGCGGGAATTTGATCACAGAGGCAGCTTGTTGGTTTTACTTGGGAGAAAGCTTGTAGGGTCCGTTCATCAACCAAGGCAAAAGTCTCCAGTGTTTCCTCAGATAAGAACTATGGTTCAGGTGTGTTAAAAGTGACATTGATGAGATCAGAATCAGATTTACTGGCCAAGTGTGTAAAAACAAGGAATTTGTCTTCCCAGTTACAACCCCCCCCCCCAAAAAAAACATACCACAAAATAACAATAACCAATAGAGGGAGACAGAATGGGAAGCCTGCCGGTTCACTATTTAGTGCCCCAAGATCTCAGGGGAGGAAACGATAGGGGAGGGGAATTAAAAAAAAATAAATACAGACTCTAACCATATACTTGCTTGAGCCCTAAAAGAAACCTCAGCACATACATTTGCTAAGACATTGCAACAGAATTATTCGCTGATGATGTAGTGGTACACTCGGCGGATTTGTGTGTTGGCAGCGTGGGATCGTTTTCCCACTCATTGGTCTTTTATCTCTACTTCATGGTGGTGCATCTGCAACGCATTTAGGGCCATCACGAGCAGGGGTGTGGGAAGGCCAACAGAGGCAGTGAAGTATCAGGAATGTGTTTGCATTGTGTGCCATAGTGAGTTGTCTAAACGTAAAGTCCGTGGCGATGTCCCTGCCACCACACCAAAACATATCGCTTCGTTGATGGAGACGGGCTTGGCTGCGGAAACAGAAACGTGTGGTCCCCACCGGTGAAATAGAGATTTCAACACCAAGGTGCGAGAGCCACTCACCGTGAACCCACTGTTAAAAAAATGTCTAGTATGAAGGAAACCGGTACAGTTTGGGATGCGCGCAACAGCAGAGCAGTGTCATCCCAAGCGTTTTTAGCAGCCGCAAAAGCTTCTGTCATTATTGGGGACCAAATGACCTCCTCTGCAAGCCCCGTAGCAATACTGTAAGGCATTGTACATGGGGAACATTTGTGGAGGTGGGTGAGCGGGGGGCTGTGGGACAGGAAACAATGGTAGAACCTTATGACCAGGATCTACTTTCGGGACTTTATGTTGCATGAGCATGGAAAGCTAGTGACATCCTCCATCTTGGATGACAGCGGTCGAGCCTCTTGCCGAGTGCTGTGTATGCCGAGGAAGGTGATGTACGACCAACCGAGCTCACGCTTGACCAGGCTGATGATAAGACTCAAGTGACGGGTGCCGATAAGCTTCCACATCTGCTTGCTGCTTGCATGCTTTTTTTTTTTTTTTGCACACGCTAACTTCCAGTAAATCAGCCTCAAAGAATGAATTGTTTTTTTCCATAGGTTGGTATAGACTTCACGGCATCCAATGGGAACCCTCGAGAGCCTTCTTCCCTCCATTACATTAACCCACTGGGAAGCAATGAGTATCTTGCTGCTATTTTAGCTGTTGGACAAATCATACAGGACTATGACACGTGAGTATCTTATGAGTAGGTGGATATTTATTTATGTATTTTTTTTTATAATGGCTTATTTTACTAAACACACGTCTTAGATGACTGTTTGCCTGAAATGGGCCTAGAAATAAGTTTGAAATCCAACAATCTGGTATCATTGTGTCTCCATAAACACTCAAGTGACAACTCAATGTTTTTTACCATTCAATGAATTGAATTGAATACAACTTTATTGTCAAATTTGTATTTTTTCATGAAGTGAAAAATGGCATTCTGTTCTGTAATCTTCATGCATCAATGTAAGTTGTGTAAAACCATCAAAATGTTTAATTTCCTTCCCTAAAATCAAACTTCAAAGTCTCTTTTAATGAAATGTGTGTGTTCCTCCAGCCATGACATCATGTTGGAGGGGTTTGTGTGTCCAAATGATCCTCGGTGCTGTGTTGTCTGAGGCTTTATTCCCCCCGATGGCATCAGCCAGGGCAAACAGCTCCTATGTGAGAAAAAAGACAAAGTATACCTCGAAATCCCCTATGATACAGCTGTCAAAAAATTCCAGGCCCGGGGGGTCCGATCTAGCCCGCCACATCATGGCATGGTTTTATGTGGCCGTTGAAAGTAAATTTGACCGCTTCTTGCTAAAATACAAAATTGCAAATTGCAAAAGTGAAGAACCTTTTGAAAATGTTGACATCATGCTAGCTTTTTTGTTATAATCACCCATTTAAAATAAATGTGATATTTGAACAAATAGTTTTTACTGGCCTCTGACTTAAAAAAATACTGTCATTATTTTGTTGTATAAACACTGGAAGCTCGAGTTCCAAACTACGATTTTTTTTTTTTTGAAACAAACTTTTCAATTCCGCACATTTTTGTGGAAAATCTACTTCCACATGTACATCTTCCATTATGCGAACTGTCTCAGCATGGATGAGCGGACAGATCAGTGCTGTGCTTCTCACGGTAGTCAACCATCATTGGCTCTGTGCGTAACTCATGGTGGTAGCTGTGCTGTTTTTTTTTTTGTTTTTTTTTTTAACATTTAAATAGACTTCAGAATGACTTAAAGGTTATTGTTGGCTGTAAAGGTTATTGTTGGCTGTTAGTGTTGGCCCCCCAAAACCCACATATGACTCGATGTCTCCTCCATAGCAGAAAATATATAGAAAGCTGTTGTGTGTGCAGCCAGAAGTTCTGCTTCAACACAATGCTTCTTACAATCACAGAACAATTCTAACAGCGGCCGCCTAGATTTCTGATGAACTTGGCAAAAAAAGTTTTCTTGAAATTGGAAGAAAAAAAGCGCCACGTAAAACTCGATGGTTGCTCCCCGCGTCAGCATGCTGTAGTGTGTGCAGCTGGTAGTTCCGCCTCCACACACGCTTCTTCCAATCCAATAATTGAAATAATTGATAACTGTCGATGTAGTGACAAACTGTTTTCTAGCAATGGCTTTCTGAAGAGTTCCTGGGCCCACGTGGTGATACCCTTTATACACTGATGTCGGTTTTTGATGTAGTTCCGCCTGAGGGATTCAAGGTCGCGGGAATACAATGTTGGTTTTCAGCCTTGCCGCTTACTTGCAGAGATTTATCTCGATTCTCTGCCTAGATTGATATTATGGACCATATGGAGCACGCCAAAGTCCTTGCAATTGTACATCGAGAAACATTGTTCAAGAAATGCTGGCCTATTTTGCTCATGCAGCTGTTGGCACAACGGTAAACCTCACCCCATCCTTGCTTGTGAACAACCGAGCCTTTCAGGAATGCTCCTTTTCTACCCATGTATGACACTCACGTGTTTGCAGTGAACCCGTTCGCCTGTGGAATGTTCCAAAGAGGTGGTGGTGTTGTTTTTTTGTTTTTTTTTAATAGCAATTCTCAACTTCAAAATAAGAGAATATTTGCCAAAAGTTTGGACAATGTGTGCCTTGGCTTAGAAGTGTCTTCAATTGAATATTGGTTGAAAAGGATTTGCAAATCATTGCATTCAGTTTTTGTTTTGTTTTATAACATATTGATTGGAATGGGGGTTTGTACTTTTAACCTCTACTGAAAAGGGTTTAATCTCTTCCACTACTTGAACAACAATACTGTCTTTCTTTTACACCGTTATTTGGACTTTTACCAAAGCACAGCACTTTTGCGACTTCTGACAAGAAATACAAGTCTGACACTCCAGACAAAATCTGATAACATTGACATATTTTGTGACTTCATTTGTCATGAAAATAGGAGAGGGTCTATTTTTTTTCCATCCCCACAAAAGTTACATCTCAACGAGGGACTATTTTACAAAGTGTGCTTTCTTGCATCCTAGTACTTGTTTTCTCTCAATTCATCATCGTGTTTCTTTGTAAAGCAGGTCACCATATCTCCACAGTTGTCTAAATGCTGCGTGTTGAATTTTGAAATGGGGGGGGGGGGGGAATAGGATTAACTTTTATTTTCTGATCTGTTGCCATGGTTTCTTCCTCAGTGACAAAATGTTTCCTGCTCTGGGATTTGGAGCCCAACTCCCTCCTGACTGGAAGGTACACGTGTTTGTTGGCTTGGTTGTACATACTGTGCGTGTGTGCCATATCGATACATTTGCTTCATCATGATGGTATAACAGCGGTGTATGGTCAGGTGGAAACACACAGAAAACTGTAAGCTACTGTATGTACTTGCATGTTCAAATCATTGTGCAATTGTTAACCCATCTATGTTTGGCGCTGTGCTGATGAAAAGGACAAAGAGAGAGGCGCTCGCATGCACATACACACGCAAACAAACACGCACCCACACACACACACACCCAAAGGAAGTGTTACTATGTCAGAAACAGAGAGAAAATTTCCCCCCAAAATGTCGGATGTTGACTGTGAATTGCAATGCGGGTCTGAGTTTGTCTTTCTTGTATTTTTAGGTATCACATGAATTTGCAATCAACTTTAACCCCACGAACCCTTTTTGCTCAGGTGTGTACTGATGCTAGTGATGGAGACAATGCAACATTTGTGTAGCATGTTCTATTTTGTAACTACTTGAGATCAGATACATGCTCACCAAGCCATCACAGCATAAAGGCCACTCACGCACACAGTCAACAGTAATTAAAGCTAATACCAGCAATGTATGAAAAAAAGGGCTTTTGCAAGAAAAGAAATATCCAGTCTTTTATTGACAATGCCAGAGAGTCGTTCCTTAAAAAATGTGTTTGTTGATGCCTGTCATTTGTTGATGCCTCTGTCATTTGCAGTGGGTCTGAATTTTATTACATTATACAAAGACCTAACATTTGAATTTCGTCAAAAGGCTAAATGAGTTTTCCAAAATATGCTAAACATTTCCCTGTATGATGCTGTGCAATTCCACACCAATGCAATTTACAACTATAGTCACATTTTGTTCACTTAATATCACTCCCTTTGTTGTGGTTGTGGCCAGGTGCTTAAGCTTTTGACAACAAATCTGCAGCTATGTTTCCAAACATTAAATCAAATGTTTTACTTTTCTCAACCCTTACCGCCCCCCGCCCCCCATAACCCCTCCCTCGCCCCAACTAGGTGTGGAAGGTATTGCACAGGCCTACTCTGCCTGTCTCCCCCACATCCGTTTTTACGGACCAACAAACTTTGCTCCAATTATCAACCACGTAGCCCGTTTTGCAGCCCAGGCCCTGCAACAAGAAAAAGCAGCGGTAAGTCACAACACAAACATTTCACTTACATTTAAAACAGGGGTCCCCAACCGCCGGTCCGCGGACCGGTACCGGTCCGCCGGGCATTTGGTGCCGGGCCGCACAGAAAGAACTTGCCTTAATTCCGTTTTATTTATTTCGGAATACGAAAGATGTTTTATTTTGAAAAACTAC